CGGGGCCGGCCAGCCCGGAGGCGCCCGCGGCGCAGGTAGGGCCGCGCGGTGGGCAGCCTGAGAGACGGGAATGGCCCGGGCAGGGACCCGCGAGGGAGGGACCCGGCTGGCCCTGGCGGAGGGATGGGTGGGCAGCGGGCTGGGGCGTCGAAGGACAAACCACGGTCTGTGGACGGTGCCGCCCTGGGATCTGGGCCAGACCCTGGAGATAGGACAAAGGACCCCCCTTAGTTGATCTGGGGGGTAGGGGTAGAGACTGAGTCCTGGAGAAGGCAGGGCTAGAAGCTGAGTCTCAAGAAGCTCACCAGTCACTGTCCCCTGCACTCGGGGCAGGGGCCATGGGGAGCTGTGGAATAAGAGGCCACCTCCCAAATCCGTCCCTGTCCCTCCTCTCAGTCCACGGAATGCCTGGAAACCCCTCTTCTTCTGTCTCCCCATCTTGGGCGCTTCCTGTCCTCCCCGGCACTGAGGCTGTCCACCAGGACAGGGCAGAATTCAGACTGGAGGTCCTGGGTGTGAGGCCAGGAGACACCCCAGGAGGTGCCAGGAAAGGAGGGGAATTCTCCTTGGGGTGACCCTGTTCCCCTAAGCAGCCGTGGCAGCTACTACCTGGAATCCACACCAATGCGGAAGGAGGGCCCTGAACTAAGTACCCCATTCCAGACTTTTCCCGTCCCCTCTCTTTGCTGCCAGAGGTCATGAAGTCTGGCTATGGGCTTTTATCTCAAGCGCCACCGGCAGAAGATGGCAATGTCGTGAGTATAGAAGCATTTTAGGAAATTCAGACTCGCACTTTGCTCCTGAGAATCAAAGTGCTGCTTTCTAATGAAGGAAAGTGAGCTTGAAAAATGATGACTGATGACGCTGAGGGGTTGAAGTCAGCTGGTACCAGAAGCTCACGGAATTTCCTGCATCCAAGGCAGGCCCCTGGTAGCTTTGTATTTCCTGCTGTAATAAATTACACCATCCCAGTAGCTTAAAAACCACACACATTTATTATCTGAGAGACGACCTGTAGGTCACAAGTCTGGCGCAAGCATCACTGGGAAAATGAAGATGCCGGCAGGCTGTGTTCTGGAAGGGTGCAGGGGGAATTCATCTCCTTGCCAATCTCAGTTGTTAGGGGTTACTCTCATTCCTGGGCTCATGATCTGTTCCACCCATTTTCAGATGCAACAAAGGCAGGTTGAGTCCTCACACCCCTACACCCCTGGAACTCCTCTTCTGCCTCCTTTTTCCTTTATATCAGCCTCTGTGATTACTCTGGGTCCGCTCCATGACCCAGGACTGCTCTGCACTCTCTCGATGCAACTGCATGTAAAGGAACAGATTTTGGGGAGCAGGACGTGGACATCTTTTGGGGCAGTATTGCTCTACCCTCCACACCCCATGAACTTTCCCTAGAGGATTCCATGTGCAAAGCCAAGTGGAGCAGGAAGGAAGGAGTCAGGCACATTTCTTGGGAGAACGTAACCGTGGCATTGGTAAGGATGCTCTGAGTGTTGATGAAGACATTTCAAACACGGGCCCATAACATCATGTATTTTTCCTTTTACTCCAATTATACCAAAATGTTTAGATCCAGCTTCAGGAGGGATTTTCACATGTTTTTTCCTTGCTCCTGAGACATAGTAATCAAGGGGTGAGGTAAAATTCTGGAGTTATTAAAAATAAAACGATTTAATTCTTTTTGACTTAACAAAATGCATGACATAGAGCCTGATTTAGGCTGATGACTCAGTCAACCAATTGTATGTTAACCCCACATGTGAGATGATGTTGATTTTTGTGATGGAAATATTGCCTCAAAGAGAGAGACAGCCAGCCAGTGAAAAGCCTGTTTGGGCTGAAAAATCAGTCCTGGAGCCCAACTTCTGCTTGGCCATTCCCTGGCCTCAGGCTTCCCACCTGTCAAATGGGTACAGAATACCCAGCACCTCTGTCTGCTCAGACACCCAGCAGTCTCCAGTGTTCACAGAAGTTTGGAGAGTGTTCATTTGCATAATTGTATTCTACCAGGCAGAAGGATAGAACCATGAAGCTGATTTTCAGGTATTTAAAAGAAAGTACGGATAGGCATATTCCTGTTCCAGAAAGGATTTCTTCTGTCACAACCAGCTTAGACTAGGATTTTGTTTTGAGTCAATCTTTTCCCTGCTCACTGAATCGATTATCTTCCTAGAAAGCTCAGCTCCTAGCCTCCTATCAGGAGAGGAAAGGCTCTGGTTGACCCTTTAAGTCCAAAGACTTCACTCCACTCAGGACTTGGTGTGTGTGTGGAGAAGACTCATTGGCTTGAAAAAGAAATTTCATAGTGGGCTTCTCTCTTAGCCAGTCCTGACTTGGCTTGATTTTGGTGACTGGAAGAGGGAGGAGTAGAACAATATTGGAGGGAGAGTTATAAGAAAGAGGAGATGACAATAAAAATGGATTGTGTGCCCTCAGCCTGCCAGGCACTTTTGCGTAGGAAAGATACATGTTTCTTCAAGGCAAGGAGTCTGGGGTACTTGCTCATGTAGCCCAGGACTTACTATGTGGCATCCCCTAAACAATATTTAGTGAAGGAAAGAATTAAAGGGTGATTAAGAGAGTTTCAGGGGGAGGCAGAAGGATAAATACCAGGTCACAATCTGCTCCTCAAAATAAGATACACTTGCAAGGTTGAGGCATGAGAAACAGGTTTTCGCATTCCGGTTCTGTTTTCAACTAAGCTCAAGGCTAGTTGGGCCCCAAACTTCACTAAATGTGAGTCAGTAAGCAGGTAGAGGGGCAGTTCAGGTCCCTCTGGAGCAGATTTCATCCCCCCGGAAGTGCAGGAAGCCTCAGCGGGCCAGGGTCCCTTCCTCAGACCCTGCCCTGGCCGGAGGATCCTGCAGCTTGGGCAGGCACGTGAGACAGGCCCAGGGCTCCCCTCCACTGCTCAGGAATGCCGTGCCCATGGCTTCAGCCTGCCAAGGTGCCCGAAAGGTTTGGAACAAAAGTCCTTTCATTCTCGGGAGTCAGGGACAGTGGGCACTAAACTTTAGGCAGAGGGATGATGTTCTAAGTACAATGTCAGGACATTGCCTAGAGGTGAAATATTTGAGACTCTACACATCTAGGGGCCTGAGGGCCTCTGCTCTTTCACATCCAAAGGGGGAAAAGTTTTGGGGGCGCACGACACAAGTGGGGTGTTTGGGGTTCGGGGGCTGCCCTGCCTAGCGCCAATCTCAGTGCCCTCCGGCGTGAGGCTCCCCCACTTCTGGTGGGGTGTGGCCATTGAAATGGTCTCAGTCCACACGCTCCTTTCGCAGGTGTTTGCAAGAGCAGGCCCTTGGACTTGGTGTTCATCATCGATAGTTCTCGAAGTGTCCGGCCCCTGGAGTTCACCAAGGTGAAGACCTTCGTCTCCCAGATCATCGACACTCTGGACATCGGGGCAGCGGCCACCCGGGTGGCTGTGGTGAACTATGCCAGCACCGTGAAGATCGAGTTCCACCTCCAGACGCATTTGGACAAGCAGTCCTTGAAACGGGCTGTGGCTCGAATCACACCCTTGTCCACGGGCACCATGTCGGGTCTGGCCATCCAGACGACCATGAACGAAGCCTTCACCGTGGAGGCAGGCGCCCGGGGGCCTGGGTCCAACATCCCCAAGGTGGCCATCATCGTGACAGATGGGAGGCCCCAGGACCAGGTGAACGAGGTGGCGGCTCGGGCCCGGGCCTCGGGGATCGAGCTCTACGCGGTGGGGGTGGACCGGGCAGACCGGGCGTCCCTCAGGATGATGGCCAGTGAGCCCCTCGAAGAGCACGTGTTCTACGTGGAGACCTATGGGGTCATTGAGAAACTCTCCTCGAGATTCCAGGAAACCTTTTGCGGTAAGCCAGCTGCTGAGCAGAGAGGATGTTCTGTTCAGGCATGTGTACCTGTAGAAAAAGGGAATCCTTTCTTTTTCTATGGAAATTAACGTAAAACTTAGATATAAAGAATGCTTTTTGGGTGCTTTTTACCAACGTAAACATACTTTGTTGGTTTAGGCGTATAGAGCTGCCTTCTATGTAACTTGCGTTGCTCATAAAATCTCCGTGTTTGCACTAGAAATGTGAAGGGCTGGAAATACCCGGGATAAATGGCACTGCTGTTCCCCAATGGGGTCAGAAAAAAATGAAGATAAAAACCTGAGGACGCCACTCCTGTCCCCTCCACCCACCTCTGCACTTCCCCAGACGTCCCCTGAGCTCGGCTATCTCAGCACTAGCAGAGGCCTGCGGGTGGCCCGCGGGTGGCCCGCGGGTGTGGCCTTGTCTAGGGAGAGCTGCTGGCCTGGGTGCCACCCCGCTGCCTGCCCTGGGGAGGGCCGTGGGCACCCTACCCTGCAGGCTGTGCGAGCTCTTTCTGGATTATTCCTTGTGGTGGGACTGGATTAGGAATTGAGACGAAGGCCTCCGCTCCCTTGAAGGATAGCAAGAAACAGGCTTTTAAATCATCCTGTCACTGCTCTTCCACTCCTGCCTTCCTTCAGGATGCCGTCTGAGTGGGAACATGCGGATTTAACTGGAAGCGTTAGCGTCTGTTAGTCAAAACCACGAGCAGGACTTTTCCTTTCGGCACTGATTAGAGTTATGAATGTGTGGGATGCGTACTTTACGTCTTATTTATTTTTTATTTTATTTTAGTTTTTTTAAAAGATTGATTTATGTATGTATACAGAACCGGGGTACAGGCCAGAGGTACAGGGACCTTAAGAGGGCTCACCAGAGTCAGGGGGGAGCAGAACAGGCAGCTTGACAAGTGCACTGCTGAGGGGAGCAGCGGGGAGAGGTCTGCTGGGCCCTGTGGGTCAGCGCTGGGCTGGGGATCGAACTCGCGCGGAAGTAGCCCCAGCTTGGCTTCCCAGTGCTGCTGTGCTTTTACCCGTTGCCTTACCAGGGAGTCACGTTTTCTTTTTAAATGTATTTTTCTTTTTCTTTTGGCTTTATGTTTTGCCATCTTTTTAATTTCTTTTACTTTTAAACATTTGAAGAGAATTTTTTGAAACCCTTATGGAATTATTCCAGCAGGAACACATACATTTCTAGTTCAAGTGAATTTGCAGTGTAGGTAAGTTTTGCTAGGTAATCTCTTCCACATCTGGCCATTCAGTACACGTTTACTGATCGCTGATGATACCAAGAGAAAGGTAGTCCCTTCTGCCATCAAGCAACAGTTCACAGACAAGCCAGTGAACCAGTAATTGCAATTGTGAATTTCAAGGGGATTTGCTATCTAAACGGCTGTGGAACCCAGAAATCTCCAGTTTGTCAGGAAGCGGGAGATGAAGTCTTGGTCTGGAGCAGAGGCTGGCTCATCTCAGCCAGACCTGGCGGGATCCCTCTGCCCCGACACTGGGCCTTCACAGGCCACTGCTGGCTTCGTGGCACCTACTTGGTATTCATCATTTTCCTGAAAGAAAATGGGTTTCTTTCTCCCAGGAAGGCCCCGTGCTTGTGGTGAGAGCTTTTCCATAAAGTCGCGGCTGCGGCAGAGCTGGGTCTGCGGGTTAGTACCTAGGGTGGGGCCGGAGGCCGTAAAGTAACCATGGTGAGTGTACCTTTCCTCCTGGTACAAAAGACCTGCTTGTTCTGGGGGAAAATGTCCTCTCTATGGAAAAACGACTGAGGAGCAGCTTGTTGCAGTCAACAGGCTGGAAAGATCACTCCCTGAAAAGGCCCTGCTTGGGAAAATATTAGCCTTGTCCTGGGGCCAGAGCAGGGAGGCTGCTTACCTGCCGCCGGAGTGCCAGCCCCTCCAACGGGCAGCCTTGGTTTCTCAGAAATGACTAAATTCGTGGATTCTTCTTTCATGGCGCTCCACCAGGGAAAACATCCAATGAGATAGACATGACGCTGGAGCCAGAAGACCCAAAAGTTGGAGGCGCACTTCAGCGAATGTCATTTCACTGATTTTGCTCGTCCTTGTCTCTTTGCCTGGAGGTAGAGATTGTATGAGTTTATTTCCTGTGACGCGTGCCTGCCTGTGTGCTGGGCCCAGGAACCCACGCTGCATAGCCAGAAGCCAGTAACCACACCACCCTCCACCATTTACATGTTCCAATGTGTATCGAGCTCAAGGGTGAATGAATTCCAGGCCTGGAGGAATGATAGTGTGTGAGTTCTGCTCAGACACAAACTCTAGGACCCTTGGGAACCAGATCCTGGCAGCAGGTGGACAGCTAGCTCATAGAACTGCGGGAGGGCCATATTCTTCTCCCCAGTTTGGTGTTTGGGAAGCAAATGCTCTTTCATGGAAAGGTTGGGTGAACTGAATGAAAGATCAAGTTACTTTAGCTCCAAATTCAAAGTTTCCTTGTTGTTTTGAGGAAGCCCACCAAAATATGTGACTTTTAAATTAGCAGATGACTAGTATAAGACTAGTTTTTTTTTTTTAATTGAAAAAACATTGCAGGATAACTTTGTTTCAGGCCAGCATCATTCAGAATCAACAGGGTAGGGATGGGATAAAAAAATGGGGGGGTGGGTTGTACACGGGACTATGGTGATGGCACATGAGTGAACTGGTGATGGGAAGTCCACGGGATTGCAGCTGAAAAGGAAAAGGGCACAAAATGATGGAAAAATAAACTATTATAATAAAAAAAGATAAACTGGGGCATCTTCTACTTTGCATTCAGCACGCCAGTCCTCTTCTTCCCACGCCACTGAGCACTTATGTCCAGCCCAGCCACACCCTACCCCTTCCCTTCTGTAACTCTAATTGGGCTCTTGGTCCAAAATCTTTGTTCTAGTTTGTTCATCGGTTAGTTTCTCTATTTCCATATGGTGCTTGACTCTGTCTGACTTCTGTCGTTATCGAAAGCCTTCCATGGTTTTGCATTGGGCAGGATTTCATCTTTGTTTGTGTTTTAATAACTGAGCAGAACTCCATCTGGGGGGTTTCCCACCTGGGGGTTTCCCACCTGGGGTCCTCATCACTCACCACTGTCACCCTGCACAGCTGTGGACCCGTGCATGCTGGGCTCGCACCAGTGCCAGCACGTGTGCGTGAGTGACGGGGACGGCAGGTACCACTGCGAGTGTAGCCAAGGATACGCCCTGAACGCCGACGGGAAGACGTGCTCAGGTGAGGCGCTGTGGCCGGAGGGCTTGAACCTGCAGGGGCCTCACGCTGGGGCTGGGGCCTGAGCTGTGCTTTTCTCCCACTGCCTTTCGTCTTGTTTACTGCTGCTTATCGCTAAGCCTTGAAAAGGCGTGAGGAGAAACGAGTTACTGCGTCAGGCGTGAGGAGAAACGAGATACTGCGTCAGTCAGCCTAGTATGGAGCTGATATGTTTAGAGGAAAGGTCAGGGAGGAAAAGGACTACTAAAGAAGGGGGCCAAATGCTTGGTTCTTTGGCGAGTTGGAACTGTCCCTGAATCTCACTTAACTACACAAGCCTCCCTTCCTCTCTGTGCCAGGCAGACTCGTGGACTGTGGAGGTTACAGGCAGTTCAGAGACCCGGGCTCGCCTTGGCATGTGAACACTCACATGAATTCAGCGAAGGAGGAGCGATAGGGACTTTTTAAACAAGATTTATTTGTGCATGCAGAGCTGGGGTACAGGCCAGAGTTGCAGGTGCGGTGAGAGGATTCACAGAGACAAAGTGGGGAGCAGAACAGGCAGATCGACGAAGTACACTGCTGAGGGGAGCAGCGGGTGGGTCAGGGGAGGTTTGCTGCACCCTGTGGGTCACCTCCGGTGTGGGGATCGAACTTATGCTGAAGTGGCTTTAGCTTCTTAGTGCTGTGCTATATAACCCGCTGCGCCACCAGGGAGGGCTCGATAGGGACCTTTTATTTTTAATTCTAGAGAAATAGTTATGAAAGGAAAAAAAAAAGCTTAGAGATTATTAGATTATTTAACTCAACCTACAGTTTATAGATAATGAAATGAGACCCAAGGAAGGGAGAAGACTTACTCATGTCATGAGGTGGAGATAGGAACTAGGCTCCCAGTTCAGCAGCCTCCCGCCCCCACCTCATCAGCTGTGTGTCGGCGGGGAGGGGTTATAATCACTTCCCACGTTTTCCATGTGTTCACATGTGCCTGGTTATCTTTTGATAGTGATCGATAAGTGTGCTCTGAACACTCACGGCTGTGAGCACATCTGCATCAATGACAGAAGTGGCTTCTATCACTGCGAGTGCTACGAAGGTTACACCTTGAACGAAGACAGGAAGACTTGTTCGGGTAAGTGGGGGAGGAGGCTGCCTCCTGGTCTGTGACGGGCAGGTCACGCGATGGGGAGCTTGGTCTGTTTTCCGCCCTTGCCACCCTTGTACCTTCCCCATGTCTTCTGAGGAAGTTGGATGTGGCAGCTTGCACTGTCACGGACACACCAGCGTGCCGTTCCTCCCTTCTCTGCCCCTGTTCTCTCAGTGCTTCCCCAATGCCAGAAGCAGCAAGTTAGGGCCAAACCACACCCCACAAGACGGGTTACTTACAAAGGGAACACCCGCAACCACATGGCGGAGAAGCCTGGCCGAGGCCACTTTAACCAGGTGACCAAAGCCACCAGCACCAGCAGGGAACACAGTGACCGTGAGCTCCAGCCGTGGTGTCCCAAGGACACAACAGCATTTCTACAGTGTTCTTGCTAAAAAGGTGGAATCATAAGGAAGTATCAGACTAACCCCAGGGCAGTGACATGCCACAAAATAGTTTTCCCAAACTTTCCAAAAGTGTCAAAGTCATGAAGGAAAAGGGGAGACTGTTGTCTGGGCTGGAGGAAAGGATGGAGACAGAACTCCTGCAAGCAGTAGGATCCTGGACCAGAAAGGGATGTCAGTGTGGGGGGTGATCGGCAGGACTGAAGGAGGGTGTGTGGATGAGCAGCGAGTCCTGTATCCACATTCACGTCCTGGTTTGGAAGACTGTGCTGTGGTTATGGAAGACGTGAACATTGAGGGAAGGGAGTCAGGACTTTTGTGCTATTTTTTGCAACTTTCTCATAAGCCTGAAGTGATTCCAGAATGGAAAGCTTAAAAACAAACAGATTAAGGCCCTCCCTGGTGGCGCAGTGGGTTAAAGCACTGCATTGAGAAGCTAAAGCCACTCCCACATGAGTTCGATTCCTGCCTGGCCCGGAGGAGACCACATGGCGAGGCAGACCTCTCCTGACCCGCCCGCTGCTCCCCTCAGCAGTGGGCTTCGTCCATCTGCCTGTTCTGCTCCCCACTCTGTCTCCGGTGAAGCCTCTCGCTTCCCCTGAGCCTCTAGCCTGTACCCCAGTCTGTATGCACAAATAAATAAATCTTTAAAAAAAAAACCAAAAACCAAAAAACAAACAGATTCGGTATATCCTGAAGTGCTGCAAAGCGCATCCGTGGACATCGGGGTGTTGAGCTCACATGTGGCCCCACATCAGCTGGCTCCTTTGGACCCAGGTTTCCTCACCCATGAGAGGAGGGTTAGTGTACAACCTCTTCGAACTCTAGTTCTGGTTTTATCCTTGTCTGGTACAACTAGCTGCATCCCTCCTGGCATTCTCCTGACTTGGTGTGAGCGCAGTGCATCTAGAAAGAATGCTTGTGGAGGCATTATGAGCTCCCTGGATTACGAGAACTCAGCTCAGATGATTTTGAAAATCAAGTGGGGGAAGGAGCAGCGTCACTATTGTCTGTGCAGGATTTTGCTGCACTCAACTCAGTTCTGCTCTGAGCAAACAGCCCTGATGGCTTTGAATGGCTGCAAGTAAATTTTACCCTTGTAAAGTCCTAAATGCGCGTAAGCTTTTCAAGATGTCGGTCATAAAACGTTTTCTACTTCTGATTTCTTTGCTCCTGGACTCGGCTTGGAAGCTGAAGACCAGTGTGCAGCCGGCACGCATGGTTGCCAGCACCTGTGTGTGAGGGACCGCACAGGGGCCCATCACTGTGAGTGCTTCGAGGGCTACACGCTGAACGAGGACGAGAAGACGTGTGCAGGTAGGGAAGTCTGTGGGCAAAGTCTCCACACTTGGCTTTTTCACCGCTGTGAAATCAATGCTCAGTTCGCCAGGAGAGAGGTTCTTTTCTCATGTTTGCAGATTCATCTGGGTCCTGACATGTCGTCTCGGCGTCCTCTACGTCAGACTCGATAGTATCGTTGGATGACATGGATTGAACACTGCTGTGAACAATGACTTCATCCCCTTCATATTTACTACTCTTTGAGTGGTTTGGGGGTTATTAGGTCATTTTTGAACCTTATGAGTTCCAGGAACTGAAAAGATAGTGTATTATCAGGAGACAGATCCTGGAAAGTGACTTTAAGGATCTGGCTCGCGACATGCTACTGTGTTTACTAGGCCAAGACGCACGTTACTGAGAGGGCCAAGCGCTCCCTGGGTTTTGGGAACATAGGGCACTTCAGAAAATTAGTGGGAAATGGGTGGGGATGGGGATAGGAGACAAGCTAATTGAACACAGAAGCCTTATCCAGGAAAATTATTTATCTCTGTGCGCTGGGGACTTGTAAAGCAAATAAAGGAAGGCAGTTGTGTGGCGACTAGCGTGATAGGCTGAACTGATCTTTTTCCAGTGAAAACTTGGCCTGGGTCTTCTCGGTAGTGTTAATCTTAAAACTGGATGGTTTTAGTAAAGGACACTTGTCCATGCCTGAAATAGACCCACACGGATCTTCCAGGAAGCTTGAAGCGAGTCGTCCCCTGACAGTTCCTAGGTGATCAATCTTGAGACGCCGAGCCCATGGCTTGGCTTCTGAGCGCACGCCAGCGCTGCTGACCCTCATTAATCTGACTGAAACTCGTGGCAGAACAGGGGGGCGTTTATAACGTCAAAGCCCTGCAAGAGAAACACCCAGCTCTCAGGTGGTATTTAGTTTTGGCACAGTCAGTGTTATTTTTTAGAGATTTTTATACGTATTTTCCTCTCCCTTGAGAAGATATATTATGTGACCTTTTGCAAGAGAAATGAAGGGAAATAACATCTCACCCACTCCTTCTTATAGAAACACGAACTCAATAAGAGCACTGACACCCTGCGACTCCCCAGGCTGCACTAAGCACTGTAGGGATGAAAGGAAGCTAAAGTTTTTGACTCTGCAGGGTGGGTGCAGAGACAACCAGCACCTCAGGAAAGCAGGGAGTAAAGAGCCAAGCAGTGGGGTTGACAGCAAGGAAGGTGGTGGGGGCCGGGGAGGCGGGAAAGGGCGCTGTGGGGGTGGGACCAGCTGGCCTCCTAGGGGGGAAGGTCTGGTGTCCAGGACTGGAAAACGCGGGCTGGGGGAGCGACGTGCACTGGTTTGTGCAAGGGGCTGGGGCTGGCTCAGTGGGGTGCAGAGGCTCCTCTCGGGGCCTGCTTTTCCCCTTGCGGGGCTACCTGCAGGCAGGGAAAGGAGAGGTAGGCCAGGGCTTGCCAAGTGCCTTTGGTAGCTCTGGAGCGGCTACCAGTCTGAGGTGAGGGGACATGAATGGTTCTGCTGTGGTATTTTGCTGAAAAGATTGTAGCAGTGAAGGGACAGCTCGTGTGAGGTGGGAAGACGCACCACGGATGGATTAGGATGGATTATGGAGGATGTCGCGTGGTGCCCGGAGCCGTCTTGTAGGCAGCAGCGTGCCATGGGAGGCGCCGGGCATGGAGCGCGGACCCCACGACGGCAGAGAAGAACCCGTCTCTCAGGGAGCCTTTCTGGGCCCACTGCAGGAGAAGCACTCTTCTCCTGTGTCCTGGGCCAACTCAGACGTGGGACTTGCTTTTCTCTGCTTCCTCAAACACGCGAAGGCCCTGTTGGCCTCCATGAAATGTCTTTACCGTGACATACAATAGCTCACTCTTCCATCATACACATCATCATCCTCATCACTATTTGTGTGTGTGTGTTTGTGGGTGGGTGTGCGCAGGTCAGTGTTTTTGGCCATACGTGGTCAGCTCTCCAGTACAGACCCTTGGTCACTCTAGTCCTTTCTGTGCAGCATCAAACTTAATTCCAGGAGCACATAGGCCCCTAACAAGTCACTCTGGTGATGCGCTGCTGGCCCGTGAATAGTGGTGGTGTTGGCAGCAAGGTGCACCTCAGGAAGGCCGAAGGCAAGCGTGGGGATACTGTCTAGACTCAGGGCACCCCCAGGGCCGTGCGGAGGCCACAAGAGAAGGCAAGTCACAAAAGGTCAGGTGTGTATGCAGTAAAAGACGAGGCTAATGGGGTGAGACTTGAACCCTGAACCCCGAGACTAGTTGTCGGGGCTGAAGGAGGTGTTCTTTGCCCCTGTGGGTGCCTCACGGGAGCTGCTCCCCCAGATGTCTGGCTGTTCTCTGCTGTAACCTGGCATGTTTTCTTCCTCGCGCCACTCCTGGCCAGTGCGGGACAAGTGTGCCCTGGGCTCTCACGGGTGCCAGCACGTGTGTGTGAGCGACGGGCCTGCGTCCTACCACTGCGACTGCTATGCCGGCTACACCTTGAATGAAGACAGGAAGACGTGTTCAGGTAAGACCCCACTGCGCCTTCACGCCTGCCGGTTGGTGGGACAGGCTGGGGGAGCGTCCCTCTCTCTGGGCTGAGCAGTCCGCTGGGTCAGAGGTCTCCAGCGGCTCCTGCTGGAAAACAGGATGAAGTTCGACTCTGCCACTGGGCTTTCTTCCCTCCAGGACCTGATTCCTTCCCTTCTCCGTCCTTTTCACTAAAGTCTTTCCCTATTTACATCTGGATTTCTCTCTCTCTTTTAAAAAAGATTTATTTACTTATGCATACAAGAGCTGGGGTACAGGCCAGAGGTGTGGGGGGTGAGAGGCTTCACCAGAGACACAGTGGGGAGCAGAACAGGCAGATGTACTGAAATGTACTTCTGAAGGGAGCAGCAGGTAGACAGAAGTCTGCTGTACCATGTGGGTCAGCTCCCTGGCTGGAGATCGAACTTGTGCTGCAGTGGCTGCAGAGAGCTTCATAGTGCTGTGCTTTGACTTGTACCACCAAGGAGGACCCTGCATTTCTCTTTATCGTAGTAAAATATGCATGCAATTAAGCTTTTTGAGTGCGCAGTTCAGTGGCTTACAGTCACCTTTGTGCAGCCGTGACCCCACCCCGCTGTCATCCACAGGGGACCTCTGCACCCACTGTTAGCACCCCCACTTCCCTCTCTCCTCAGCCTCCCGATCCACTAACGTGGGGGCATTTCCATTTATTTAGGCCTTGTTTAACTATTTCAACAATGCTTTGTGCATAGTTCTTGCACTTACTAAAGTTATTCCTAAATATTTTATGCTTTTACATGCTATTTCAATGGAGCCATCCCTGTTTCCCATAGGGGTCAGAATGCCCAGAGTCTGCCCTCATACTGCTTACCGTCTTTCCGCCAAGACAAGCCCACTGTGGAAATTCCTTGTGTTTATCTCATACTCTATGGCTGGGATGGTGGGCATGCCCTTGATATTCAATTTCTCTTATATCCTTTGACCCTCCTTAAAACATCTCAAACATAAAAATGTTATAGGTTTCTTGATTTGCTCTGATTTCTAAGTAGCTGTGGCATTTTATGTGTGTCATTGTTAGCTATTGAAGAAGCACGAAGGCTCGTCTCCACAGAAGACGCTTGTGGGTGTGAAGCCACGCTGGCCTTCCAGGACAAGGTCAGCACGTATCTGCAGAGACTGCACACCAAAAATATCCTTTCTGGAAGGTTTTCTGCCTCTGCTTTTGAAGCCAACCTAGGTACCGCAATTAAGCCCCATTTTGGGACATTCCACAGGGTAACTGTGCAATTCAGTAAGTTTTAAGATGGGCAATAGTAATACACTTTTAAAAAGAATTGTAAAGGTATCTTTTCAGCATATTCATGTAGCCTGGAATACATTTAAAAGACTGATTTAGTTTTTATCTAAAAAGAATCACTGCATTATCACTAGATTTATAACAAATTATTTACTTTATAATTAAAGCTTATGGAAATTTTCATATAACTTATGTATAAACGAGATGCCATTTGTCAAAAAAAAAATTTAGGGAGTATATGGTTAAAAACAAGTATTATCTTCTCCAAAGACTAGAATTTCTGATTTTTAAATTGGACTTTCGGTGCGAAAACCATTTTGCTTTATTTATTTATTTATGTAATTATTTTCTATGGAAGTGTTTGTATTTTCTAATGTGTAAGAATAAGTAGTGTCGGCCTTAACAACCAGCCACTAGATGACGTTTTGGAGAAGTTGCAGACAAATGAATTTGGACATGTACATCGCTAAATGGCTCCAGGTTCCACCTGGAAATGTGGAGCGTTGGTGTGTTTACTATTAATTCTTCGATGTGCTCCAGTGTTCCTGCCGAGACACTGCCATCAGCTTGAAGGTTGCTGGATAAGTAGAATGAGGATCTTCTGGGGAAAGAGGATCATTTGCTAAGGAAATAGCTGTCCAGTTAAAGCGAACTTTAGTGTTTCTCAGCTATGACTGTGAAGTGGCTGGTAGAAAATAGTGAAAAATTTAGCCATTTACTTACTGATTGAGCCGTTTAATGATAGAATGTTTGTACTAGTAATATATTCATCCTCATAATGGAAATTTTGATTCATCTTGATGGTATTTATAGTATAACCAGTCTTCTTAATGAGTATAAACTGTTCAAGGTATTTACACATAAAAAAGTTGACATCATTAAGTTGTTATGAATATAAATTAGGACGGTTTCTTCAGCACTTTCTACACTTCTTGCTTCTCAGAAATTGTATTCATAGATGAAGTGAACATTATATACCATTTTTAATTCATGATGTTAGAAAGAAACACAACTAAAATCTTTAGTTGTTAATTAAGTACTGTAACCAAAGGTGAAAACATGTCTAAATTTATTTTAGGTTCCAATTTATAAATATTACATTAGCAAGAAATAAGACCTAATTTGTCTTTCTAAATATTATTAATCCCAACTTTTTTTTACTTATATACACTTTTTTTAGTTTTAAAAGCTTATAACCTTTAGAAGTCTTAAGCTATGTATACTAAATTTGTATTGCTTTTAGTATAATAAAAAAGTTCTTATATTTATATAGATTGTAATCTCTTATTTGGGTGATGGCAATTTGGTGACTTACATTTGCTTACTGTTATCAATTTTGTTTCTTAACATATTTACTTAAACTGATTTAGCAATTACTTTGAAGATTTGACACTTTCTAATCAATGGACGGATTGCTGTGATTCTTTGCACAATTTAATCTCAAACTTTTAAAGCAACAAAGTTCAGATTAGGAAGGCTTTACTCTAAGCTCAATACTTTCAAATTTATGTATGTAAAAGCACCTAAGCTGAAACTTTGTCAGAATCATTGACTGCCCAGTTTACCTGTTTCTTCAGCTACCCCTTTGATATTTAAAAGTTAAAAATTTCTGTAAAGTAGATATTGTAGAATACATAGTACATGCTCACTGCCTTTGTGAAGTGGTATGTAGTTGTATAACTTGTTTGTGCAAACTGAGTGGTTGAACAAAGAATGGCTTTAATCAACAGTGTTGCCGGAAAGACAACAAAATATCTAAATTTAGATGAGTGACATTAATATATGCCTTCTGAAAAGCAAATATAGCCTACAGATATTTATTTAGAAACAACAGAAAATTAAAACATTAAAGGGAATTACAAAGAAAGAACAAGGCTGTATTTGTTACACAGAACACATATTGTTACTTAACAATTTTGAAAGGACATATACAGAGCAGTATTATTTTCCAAACTTGTTTGTGCACAGAATCTGTAACATATTAATATGTCAGGGAATTGGGGTATGGGAGTATTAAACAAGAGCTCATGTCCAAGACTAGAGAGATGATGTCTCGGTAGGACACGTGGCCGTGGGATGAAAAAGGATGACTCAGAATCCATGTGCAGAACAGAGAGAAGCCGAGAGGGATTGCACCAGCAAGGGGCATCAGCTCCAAGGCCGCCTGTTAAAAAAAGATCAAAGAAGCAAGCAGGCAAACAGGGAATGCACAAGTGTGTGGGCTAAGGGTACAGATGGCCCTGCCAGCATTGGGTACAGGGAGAAGTCCAGGAGTCTCAGTGTTTATGCTTCTCTAACCATAACATCTGTTGCTGTTTCTGCACATGCTGTTTTCCACATGTGTAGGTCCTCACACAAGGACTTCTGCCCTGAGAGGTTCCTTATCAGCTTTTCCTGTTTCTACACACTGAGAGGCACAGAGTAGCCAAAGCAAAGGATAATCAAGGCAAAGCCATAGAATAATTGAGACACCCGACCATCCAAGCACCCCCAAGATGATTTATCAAGAATATGAGCTCCAGTATAGTGGCATACCCTAGCTTGGACAACACTCAATTATTTGTTTCTTGAGTCTGGGATAAGGTGTCTATATGAGCAGCTGCCAATGTATCTTAGGAATTTACAGTTTGGTAAATTGCTTAAAAAAACACCCAAACAGATGTATATATGTGTGTGTTTAACAAATACATTAACTGAACTGCGGTGAACCTTGAAAATTTCAGGAGGCCTGATTTGTGTATCTGCTAGGTACGATTCTTACCCAACATGAAATTTATGAAACGACCTTGGAAACAGTCAGATGGAATGGAGGGAGGCAGAAACCATGTTAACGTGCGCAGATCAGAAACACCATAGTAAAGGCATTTTAGGATTGAAGGAAGACTTTGACTGTAGCTGGGGTTTTGATTTGATGGGAAAGGCATTAGGACTACTGTCCCTTCCAACCTGTCCTGGGCTAACATTTGCCGGGGAAAGCCTCTTCGTGGGGGGAAATAAACCACTGCTGCACAAAGTACAGGCTAGATTATACAGATTACAGTGTTAGCTGCAAAAAGGAGTAAAAACAAAAACCAGAGGGGGAAAAAAAAAAACAAAAAACGAAAAATGGGTGAAACTAATTTCACGGGAATGTCTGCCCTACGCCAAAAATAGTTTCGCACCTCTCCGAACATTCCGATAGGGCAAAAGGTGGAAAAAAAGAGGACCGAACAGATTCCAGGAGAGAAAATACCACAACACCCCAATTACCTAAAGATGGAATTATCAGTCGTCTGCTGCAACGGCCCCCCATGCACACAGTCCTTGCGCAGGGAACCTGCGTCTGACCCCGGCGGCGTGAGAGTTGGCAATACAACCGCCTCCCCGCAGTCCCTCCGGGGGGTTCTCCAACAGCTAAACGCGAGGGCAGGCTGGCAAGCTCTGTGAAGGCAGTTTCTCGCCCCATTTGGCCCCGGCGCCACCCTACCAAGGACTCTCCCTTCTCACCCCTCGAGGGGCTTTGGGGTCCCAGCACACCCAACCATCGGGATCTCGCAGTATCAGGCGCCTTTCCTCCAGGGTGACATGTACCCCCCAGGCGCCCTCCTCCGTCGCCACCCCACGTGTGGCGTGTGCCCCGAGCCCGCTCGGACTGCGGCGGCGGGGACCCGGCAGGGCACTCAGGGTCGCCGAGACCGCAGAGAAGCCCAGCAGCCCCGGGAAGCCGAGCACACCGCCCACAGCCCGCGCCGCCGCGCCGCCGCGCCCCCCGCCCTCTGCGCAGGCGCACAGCACGGGGCGGGGGGCGACACCGGAAGTGCCCTCCGCGCCCCGGATGCGACCGGGCGGCGGCGGTTGCCAGGGCGACGGGAGCTTCCAAGAGCCGCTGATACTCGAAATTGGCGTTTCGAACAAGTTTCCTGAGGCGGACCTAGTCGGCAGGCGTCATCCTCTCGGGGTCCCAGGATGTTCTTTTACCTGAACAAGAAAGTGAGTTTTCCTGGCGCTCCCTCGCTCCGCCACCGCGCCTGCTTCTGCGGGCGACTCCCGCATCCTGCCGGCGACGCCCGCACCGGTTCGCGGTTCGCGTCCTCCTCCAACCTTCCTCTGTGGCCCTGTCTCGGACCTCTTCCAGCCGGTCCCGGAGCTCCACACAGTCCTTGGCGGAGCCCCCCATCCTCTCGCGCGACTCTCCCATTCCTGCCTCTGGCTGGGTCCTGTTTCGGGGGGACAGGAGCTGCGGGACCGACCCCTGCACGCTCCCCTGAATCTTTCCTTCTCCACCTGTTGCTGATCCAGGTGAATGAACTTTATTGGGTCATCACCAGAACGCTGGGCAACAGAAAAGTAATGTAACGGGAGCCTGAGTGTTACCTGCGGAAAGGGAATGGGACCGATGGTGTGCATCTATACCTCCGGTCCCCACAGCCCTCTTTAAAAATTCAGCATGTGACTCCCCCTTGGGCTTCTTTCGGGGGTCACTGCTTTTCTCATGTAGTAGGGTCCTGCGAAAGTTCAGGACACTGTGTGCACTTTCTTAAAAGCTGAACATTCTCCTTCATGGAGAGATTTTTCTCCGCCTTCACATCCTGTAGGCATTCTTCTTCGGAAAGGTTGTGAAAGCGGCTGTGATTGCTTTTCAGATTGCCATTCCCAATAATGTGAAGTTGAAATGTATATCTTGGAACAAGGACCAAGGATTCATAGCATGTGGTGGTGAAGATGGATTACTGAAAGTTTTGAAATTAGAGACACAGACAGGTAAGTGACTGTACTCCAAATGTTTGAACTTGATGGAAAGTTGACTAGTATTATTTGTTCAGAGATTTCCTACTGCTCTTTCTCAGCATGCCAGACTAATTATTTCAAAATGGAAAAAAGAAAACCCCACATGCCTTGTGGTGTTTCCTACAGTGTTTTTACAATAAAGTTCATAGAATATAAACATTTTTGCTTAAGTTAATGATGGAATATGAAAAAGAACACAAAGTAAAAACTAAGTCACGGTGTTGTTTTGCGCTAGGTCTGTTTATTGTGTTGTATTATTAGGAGTTATAAAATACGATGAAAATCAACATTTCAGAAAGCCACGAAGTCTAACATTTGGACAGATTGTAGGACTGTTACTTTTCTGCTTATTAGACATGTTAATGATTATATACCTAGTTCTCCCCAAACAATTTATTGTGGCACACTTTCTTAGTAAACATTTGGTATTTGCAGCTTGATTTCCCTTTTTCTCGTTTTCTGGAATCGTATCAAACTGCTTCCTATTTCTTTGGCATTTAGAGTGCTGCTCTGGATTGACGATCTAGGCAACCCCCAGTCTAAATAGAGATCTCAGTATGGAGATTGGAGCAGGAGTCTCAGTTCTTCCATGAGACTACTGAATGACTTTCAGCAAGTTGCTGAATGTCTTTGGGCTTTTAGTTCACTCTTGTTAAATGTGGGAGTTGAACTAAATGACATTTTGGATTCTTTGCTGTATTGCTTTTCAAACTTTCTCAGGCTTATCATCTGGAAAGTTGTTAATTTCTGTCTTCTGGTCTCAGAGTACCTCTGGAATGGGATCTGGAAATTCCCATTTCTAGTGAGACTGGTGTTTTTAGTCCTCAGACCTTCCTTTGAGTTCATACTACTTTTGAGCTACCAAGGTCTATATGCATAATTATTGCTTGGCATGTCCGTCTGCAGGGTGCGTAACCCATACTGTTCACTTGATTTCCCATTAATCTTAAGAAGCAGTTATTTGAGATGAGAAAGCTGAGCACATGATCAGTTAATAACTTGCCCAAGTCACATAACTGGTGAGGGGAAGAGCCGGGAGTGAATGTTTAATGAATTTTGAGGATAGACTTCTAGATGGAATTTATTGGATCAAAGGTCATGTGCATTTATAAAGGTCCTTAATGTTTAGCTAAATTACCCTCCAGAAAGTTTGCACTAATTTGCATTTTCAGTGGCAGCTTTCCCAGTTTCCACTCCCTCCCTTAGAGGGAAGCTAGAACCAGCACTGCTCCCATGCGGTCACATCAGGGTAAGGCAGGCAGGACATGGTGACCCTTCTGTGGCAGCCAGACGTCCACACATTTCCTGGTGCCCCTTTCTCATGTTCTTGGTAGGAATAACCTACTAAGTTGCTGTCTCTTCTTTCACCGAGTCGCCTGCCTCCTTGCCTTCCCTCCCCGTGACTTTGATGGCCCGAATGTAATTGGTAGTCATTTGGGTTCATGTCAGCATTAGAGCTTCAATCTTGAAACATTCCTCAAGACAAAAGGAGAATTCACATGTTTTAAATTACTTTTATGTTTAAACCTGCTCTTTCCCCCTTTCCTCTCTGATAAGTCCTAACTGTTAGAATTCCAAGAACGTGGACCTGGGCGCTCTCCTCACTTTAATGCTTTCTGGTTCTCTTTCCTCCCTGTGGCTTTTAACAGGTGATGATTTCTAAGTTTATGTCTCCCCCCAGCCCTCAGTTTTCAACATCTCTCCATGCATCTCATACTTACATCTGAAGCTGAACTCGTGATCATTTTCAAATATCTTCTTTTGGTTCTCCCCATTTCAGAAAATACCTTACTTTCACTCACTTGCTCAAGCTAGAAACCCTGCCTTTCCCTCTTAACATCACCTCTGTCAACAACCCTATAGTTTCCATGTCTGAAGTGTGCCTGTCTCCACCCTTTCTTTCCCTTAGTCTCCCTTGACTTCTCTGGCTCCTGCCACTGTCACCCCTCTTCCAGATTCTAGAATCACTTTCCCTCTGATTCTCATCGCTTCTAGCTCATTCCAGTCTGCTCTTCAAACTCCAGTTGACATGGGATTTTGAAAGAAAGCCAGATTATGTCATTTCCTTATTAAAAAAAATCAGCCCCAGAAGGGCTGCCAGTCCCTTGGTGGTAGGGTGGTGGGGCAGGGTCCTGGCTGGCTTTGAGATGGCATCTCCCGATTATCCTGCTCCTGCTCCTGCTGCTGAGCTCTCTGTGCACTCACTGTCACGAGAGAAGATATCGCCCTGGAGCAAACATTTGGGTCAGAGATAAAGTCTTTGAAGACCATTCACACCAACTGTAGCATCTGTGTAGCCCTCTGGGAATGGCAGGTGGCAAGGATGCCTTAGTCCCCAGGGTGCACACACAACGGGAGTGACAGGAAATGTCCAGCCTTTGTTCTCAGGATGTTCACACAGACACACCCCACTCAAGTGGAAGACCTGAAAATCCAAGCTCCAGCAGTATCAGTTCTGGTGTCCATTGCTGTACCCATGGGCGTGCCCAGAGCCACTCGCCCCATTCACACCTCACAGCCAGGCTATCAGGGGAGCCTGCTGGGGCTTTGGGAACATGCAGAGGTTCCTCAGAATGGCTCTGTCTCTTCATGTGGCCTTGGAAAACCAGTATGTGTGTGCTTGGGGCCATCACAGTGTATGGTTGCCATTGGGCATACATAGCCTCTTGCTTTTAAATAATTGTACATTTTGATCTTTTCTCACCTGTAGTCAACTCTTCTACGGTCTCTTCTTTTTCTGCTTTGTCTTCTCCCATATGTTTTGATTCTGCTTACCATGCTGTTGTGCAGCTTATAACAGGAATTTCTCTTGGAAGTGGGCTGCTGACAACTTTGATGGATGCAAATGAAAACTTATGCCTTTTATGAATGCAAAGCTGACTTTTGTGAAAGGCTTTCTGAGATAAAAGTGTTTGGCATTCTGGTGATCTTAGCAGGCTTTTCTGTGCACTTACGTACTTGATTTTCAGTCACTTTATTACAGTTTAATCTGTTAAAATTCCTTAAACTTTTTGGGCGTCTAGGATATACTTTGGATTGTGGGATTTATTGATTTCATCTTAAAATTTCTCCTTGTGGGTTTTAGATGCCTGCTTTATTGCTGGCTTCTTTCACAGTGCCTTTGAAGTCTGTGAGCTCTGCCAGGTGCTTCCAGAAGGATGATGTCAGTGTTAGCAGATGTTGGTTCCCATGCCAGCTCAGTGTGTTACCTTAGCGGCCGTGGGGAGTTTGGGAATGCAGCTCAGTGGGGCATTGCTGGCTTTATTCTACCTCATTTGATACTTTTAGCCTTTTATTGAATGTCAGAATTTCAAGATGGATTTTGCAGGCTTTTGGCTTTAGTTTCTTTCTTTCTTTTTTTTTTTTTGGTATGATTAAGGTTTGATGTTGTTACCAGCAGGAGACCAGCAAGTATTCAGAGGGGGATACTATTTGTTCAGTGTGTACAGCTTTTTCATTTGTCAGCAGTTGTTTTGTCAAGGGTGCTGTACTTTATAGCTGCACAGAGAGAAAACATGTAACCTGATTAGTACTCTGATTTCAAATTATATAAACAAATAGAAAGATGGATTGCTTCATTACACTTTCAAATATATTGGGTAATGATGAGCCATTAGAATCACATTTCACTAATTTTACTTGGTTACAGTGACTACTGCTAAAGGCATTAGAATGGATTTTCAGTTTTGTCAGTTAAGAAAAATGTGTTCATTATACATTTTGAGAAAATTAGATTAGGTTTAAGTGTTTAATGTAATTTTTAGAAGATTTGATGAGTGAAAGAAACCTCTGTTGAAAAAAATGTTCAGCCTAGTGTATGTGTCGTATGTTTTAATTGACAGATTACTGTGTTACCCATATGTATGTGTGCATGTATACACACATACAGCACACATATATGTGTACATGTGTACATATAAATATACATGTATATATATAAATACGTACAACTACATATATTTACTGTTACCAAGACTAGAACTAGAGTTTTTAGAGGAATTCAGGTACCATTTCTTGACATTCTTTTCACAGTGGAACATATATATAAGATTTATTTTAAGATTTATTATT